CCTTGGCTCCCTGCGCTTTGCTCCATTGCAGCCCATCCTGTCCTCCTCTGCAGGAGAGAACAGGTCTCTACCTACCTCCGTGTGACACCCCCTCACATGTCTATATGTCACCAACAGATCCCCTCAGAATCTCCTCTTCTCCAGGCTGAAGAGACCCAGTTCCCCTCAGTCTTGCCTCATACAGCAATCCGGCCACCATCCTTGTGGCCCTACACTGCACTGACTCTAATCTGGCTATATTCTTCCTGTAACAAAACGAAAAACCTCAAAACAATAAAGATAAACTGCAGAAGACGAGAAATTAATGAACTGTTAGAAGCAACAGCATATCTACCACTTCAGCAGTGACAGAGGCTGATGGTTTATGGAAGCTTACTCAAAATTCACATCAAAAATCAAATGTGTATTTCTCAGAAAGAATAATTAGGTCCTTAAACGATCCAATGTAATTTACTTCATTACATTATGCTACTGGAATACTATCAGTGAATTCAAATAAGCAGTGTTATCAATTATTTACCAGAGAAACCAGTAAATAATTGGTTGATATGAACCATATCATGTGTTGCCATTACCTTACCAGTCACCATTTAACCCAGTTGAAAACAAATCTCATTTATTTATTTAAAACTTTTCTAAATGTCTACCAACTAGTGGTAGTGGCATTTGGTAGCGGTATTCTATCCACTACCAAATATTTATTTATTTATTATTTATTAAAACATTTTTATGCCGCCTCATTCGCCGAAGCCTCGGGGCGGCTCACATCAATAAATTAAAATAATTATAATATAAATTAAAATATAAATCTAAAATTAAAATACAACAGTACAGTATAAAATAAGCCGCCCTGGCCAGATAAAACCAATAATGTTAACAGTTAAAATGCCGCTTGAATAAAAAGGTCTTCGCCTGGCGCCGAAAAACAAATAACGACAGCGCCAGGCGGACCTCTCTGGGGAGCGCGTTCCATAACTTAGGTGCCACCGCAGAGAAAGCCCTCCTCCGAGTACCCACCCTCCTAATTTCTTTCATGGAGTGTTCCCGGAGAAGGGCCTCCCCCGCCGATCTCAAGGGGCGGCTGGGCATATATGGATGCAAGCGCTCCTTCAGGTAATAGTCACGGGATGGTCTTACAATAAAACAAAAGTAAGTGTTTCTAACACATAATAGATACCAACTCATGGTCTTTGGGCTGTGGTTCCAGATAGTCCTTGACATACATAGCTAGTAAGCACTAGGTAACAGAAATGGATGCAATCTCTATTCTAACGAACTGAAGCTGATGTGCAGTTTTAATCAGCCCACCCTGGTTGTGCATTGCAGTATCAACACCCAGAACTCTGGCTTGTCTCTCAGTAAGCAACCAGAGTTTGGGGTTTGGACATCACAGTAGTGTCCCTGCATCATGGACTGCAGTGGCCAGGTAGCAGCCAGGGAACCAGCACACTTACTTGCTCTTCATTTTCAACAACCCCCAGTTTGTTAACACTATTATCCATTACACACATTGCAACAACGCACAGTTGAAGAAACTGCAATGGCGATGAGGAAGCTGTAATGCTGTGCCTGGCCGGGAGCTGACAGAGAGTTCTTATATGGCTCTTCTAGATTCAAGCTTACAGGGAGATTTAGGGAAAATGAGCGGTACATCAGAATTGTCTGATGACTCTGGGAAAGACTGAGCCCATCCCAAATTGTGGTAGGTGGGTTTTGATCATCTCTAACCCGAGATTATCTAATGCTGGCTTCCATTCCAATTTTCATAAAAATGTTAGAACATTGAAAAGTATTTTGAATCTTTGTAGCTGTTTAGTCTTTGATTAGGTTGGCAGGAGTCAAAAATTGTGACTAGAGCACTGAAAGCATCTCTCAGCAAGTAGTAATATAAACCCTGACCAAAAATAAGCCAAGGCATGGGAATCTCAAGCACAGTAGGCTAAATGTGGCCAATGTACGGATCCACATCTCGCCTGCCAAGCTTCTTCCCCTCCCCATTTGCCTTCCCCTCACAAGTTGGAATTAAGATTGCCGGGAGAAATATCAACGACCTCAGATACACAGATGATACCAGTCTAATGGCAGAAAGTGAAGAGGAAGTAAAGAACCTCTTGATGCAGGTGAAAGAGGAGAGCGCAAAAGTTGGCTTGAAACTCAACATTAAGAAAACAAAGATCATGGCAACTGCTCCTATCACTTCCTGGCAAATAGATGGGGAAGAAATGGAGGTAGTGACAGATTTTATTTTCCTGGGCTCCAAGTTCACTGCAGATAGGGACTGCAGCCAAGAAATTAAAAGATGCTTGCTCCTTGGGAGGAAAGCTATGACAAATCTAGACAGCATACTAAAAAGCAGAGACATCACCATGCCAACAAAAGTTCATATAGTCAAGGCTATGGTTTTCCCAGTTGCAATGTATGCCTGTGAAAGTTGGACCATAAGGAAGGCTGAGCACCGAAGAATTGAGGCCTTTGAATTGTAGTGCTGGAGAAGACTCCTGCAAGTGCCTTGGTCTGCAATCAAACCGGTCAGTCCTAGAGGAGATCAACCCTGACTGCTCTTTAGAAGGCCAGATATTCTAGATGAAACTTAAATACTTTGGCCACCTAATGAGAAGGAAGGACTCCCTGGAGAAGAGCCTAATGCTGGGAACAATTGACGGCAAAAGAAGAAGGGGACGGCAGAGAATGAGGTGGCTAGATGGAGTCACTGAAGCAGTTGGCGTGAGCTTAAGTGGACTCTGGGAAATGCTGGAGGACAGGAAGGCCTGGAGGAATGTTGTCCATGGGGTCGTGATGGGTTGGACACGACTTCGTGACTAACAACAACAACAACATCATTTGGCTAAATCTTGTGATGAAAAGTTCTCTCATATACAAGGATATACATCTTCTTTTGAATTACCTACCCATCTCTCAGAATTTAATGCAAGATCAGCAAGACTAATATTACATCACTGGAAGTTGAAATAGCCATCTGCAATAACACAATGGATGGAGAATTTGATGAAACTTTCCATTTTTGAATGGATGGCCTTTAGGGATAATGCAGAAATAGACAAAAATATGGCCATTTGGAGAGCCTTTGTTGAAGTCTACACATATTTTTGGTTAAATGACAATAGCATGTTCTGAAATACATTAAGACATACAATATATATGTAGCTAGTACTATGAATCTTTTTATATTTATTCCTTTTCTTTCCTTTTTCCTTTAATGGTGTGGTTTGGGGTTTTTTGTTGCACAATTAAAAAAACATTTGGGTTGGATCCAGATTTAGACATGTGGAATGAGGATGGGTGAAGCAGACCTTCTAGCCCCCTCTTCCCTATGGAAGCTCCTCTAGTTCTGCAAAATATACTGTACAGAAAGTCTGGGAATGCTGCTGAATGGTGTTGATTGAGCATAACTTTTTGACTACAAAAGAATTAAGCTCACTTTAAAAAATGATACTAACCTATCAGAATGTTTAGCTGCTAAAGCAATGCAGCAGCAGATGTTTCAATATTAAAGAGATCAGTTAAATATAATGAGCCATAACATGCCTGGAACATCTTTGGGAAAAAAAGAAGAATGCCATGCTTCACACTTGGAATACAGTGACCCTTTGTGCTACCCAACGTTCTAGAGGGGAGACTAGATGACCCATGCGAAAGCCCATAGTCCCTTTTCGTGAAGCTGATAACGGCTCCTGAGGCATCCTTCATCCAGTTCAGCAGACTGCCAACCCCCAACAAAAATAAACCCAGCAATTCAAGAGGAAAAGCTTGGGATCCTCCTCTTACATACACTTCAACGATCTGTGTATTTTGCTTTTAAGCAGAGTGTAATCAGGAAGCGCTGCAATCCGTTTCCCTTGGACAGACTTCATCACTGATGTATGGGGATTGTTAGCAAAGCGTATACTCTGTGCAAAAGCAAAATGCTTCATTTGTTAAGGGCCTAACAGGCCGAACATCTTTAAAGGAGCTTGGCACCAGCTTTCATTAACAACACGTTTAAATGCATTGACATTGAAAGATTGCTCCCAAAGCTGAATCCTAAAAGCCTGGACCAACAAAGTATCAATCACATACTGCAATGAGTCATATTTAATCCTGTCCTCTCTCTCTTTTACTGAAGCATGGCAGTGCAATTTTCTGAAAGAAATGGAGATGTTTACAGTACTGTTAAAAGAGCCTCAGCCATTTATAAGTCAGCGTTTTATTATGCCAAGTCCCCAAGGCCTAAAACTCATATAACATCTTCTGTGCAACTAGGCAGACAGCTTTCTGCAAACTTGGCCATATGGCGGTGGATCCTGTGACACTTCTCTGATGCTTTTCTGTGCTGTTTCAAATTTGTAGGATTTAGACAAAGACCATGTTAATGGCCAGGCAGGAAAAGTGCAACAGATGGAGACTGATTTTTAATGTGCAGGTGGGCACTCCACCAATCAGCAGCTCCAAGTTAAATCAATAAAAGAAGTGTGGAAATAGCTTTGGGGTATTGATGTTCCACATTAACTTTTTAAAAACTAATACACACACGATCTGATAGGCAGAAAGGGCTATTAACAAATGTGAAGATGGTATCTGGCTACCTCTAGATAGACTCTTGAATTGGAATTGGCAAGTGATAATCCAGATGTAGGAAGCTAATTAAACTTGCAAAAGTCCTGAAAATTAACAAGGAAAAAAATATACATGTAAAAACCACATTTGTCAAGCAGGTTCATCAAAGATAAGATGACAATAGTATTAATGATTTTGTAAAAATTGTACTTCGGTCCTGTACTTCTATTGTACTTCTGTCTATTTCTGTTGTACTTCTATCCTGTTTGAGCTCCAGTGCTCTTGCTTCCAGCTTGCTAATCAGGCCCTCACTTAGCATGAAGAATTTCGTAGTGTCAGCTCTTTCCTTACCGTGCATGGGACCCCACCCCCACATAAATATTTTTTCAGATTGGTATGCATCCTGCTTTCTTCCACTGCTTTGCTGTTGCAGATAAATGAATTACCTTCTCATTTTTCCTCTCTTCTGCTTTGCAGGGTGTGCTGGTTGAGCTGCAAATTGCCAGGCTGCTGATGGGCCCACTTCCTGCGTCTCCATTCAGGTTGACTGCAGTGACATTGGGAGGCGTAATCGCTGCTGCAGCGGAAGTGAGGGGAATCATCGGCCTGGCACATTGTGCTCCTGGGATGACATGCACAGGGGAGTGGTGGATGTGTTGCGGAGAAACCACTGAGTGGGGCCTGACCACCGTTGCTGGGAGGCGGGAGGGCGAGCTCTGGGTTCTAAGTGGCGAGACGGTCGCTGTGGGCCGATCCTGCGCCTGCATGGAAGAGTGCACACCTGAGAAGAAAAGCGGAGAGAGGAGGAACTGTAAGAAAAGAACTGCAGTGCCACAAACACGGTCAAAACAGCAACAGACACTTCTGCAGCTCAGGCTGAGATGCTTTAACTGCAGCTTACATGAAATACAAACTGTCCAGTATATACATTGTCAGAAAAAATTGTACTGAACAGATTTGCTAACATGCTACAAACATTATGTAAAAAACAAGGCCTCCACAACTTCCACTTCCTAGTTTATTTTGCAATCTGTAGCAAGAACCTTGGCACACTGAAGTAATTTTCATTTGAAGCAAATGTATTTAGGATCAGGGTGATAGGAGCTGAAACTGTTTGCAAAAGCAATAAAGGATTCCCTCTTTAAAACCACAAAGACTGAAGCAGATGTTACTTTACAGATAAAGCCAGAAACTACATATTTCCCTTTTTATTCTAGAGTAAGAACAGGATCTCCACCCAAACTGAACCAGGACCCCAGCTAATCCAGTTGGGAGGCTTTAATCTTTTCATCCTATTTTGGTCTTAATCAGGAGCCGTGCGCCTGCAATTTCTATTGCCACTATTTTCCATTTACTTTAATCAATCACTGTTCGGCAGTAAAAATTACAGCTTCAGGGCCCCTGATCTGGACTGGGATGTCAGGAGGGGGGAGGGTAAACACCCCCAACCCCACCCTAGAGTCATAATCTGTATTGGGTGGGAGGGGTACTGCACTTACTTTAGAGTATAAAGGTAATGTCTATTTTGCCCCAAAGTCTTACTTAGAAATGAGCATAGATAGCAGTTGTGTTCTACATCAGTGGAATAAATCAATCCAGTGCTGTCTACTCTGACTTTCAGTACCTCTCCAGGGCTTCAGCAAAAAAGGATCTTGCCCATCCCTGGGACCTGTTCTCTTCACTGAAGATGCCTGGGCTGAATCTGGGACCTAGTACTTGGAAGCCCTCTCTTCTGTCATGGGTCTCTATGCCTGCCTCTTTTTGCCTTTAACATACTGAACTCATCAATTTTCACAGGGTTTCAAGGATGAAATAGACATCATAGGAATGTACGAGTCAGAGCGTTTGGCCATCTCTCCCAGTGTGGCTGACACTTGAGCATGGCTGGCCACATCTCTCCGGGGTCCCAGGCAGGAGTTTTTCCAGTCATGACTGGGAATGCTGGAAAGTGAAACTGGGACCATCTACCACTAAGTCTCTCTCCTTGAGCTAGGAACCCCTCTTCTCAAGGTTACCTATTTTGGGACATACCATCAGGTTTCAGATTCAAACATTCTCTCTACAATACCTCCTATACATATAAGCCAAAAGTCATTGTAAAAATACCTACGTCTCCATCCTTACACGTCCAAGGAAGCTATCTATTTCTTTCCTTTTGACTTCCCCCAGAACCTGCATGGCTTGCATCAATTTATGATTTAAAATATATTCTCTTCAAAGCTTAAAAAAACAAGGTTTCCGTATTAATTTCTCTAAAAATTCAGGAATAGCTCAGTCTGTCATTTAACCCTCAAATCCACTGTGGCACCTCTGCCAGATGTTTGGTGCTTTTTGTTTAAATTGCTCAGGACAAATGAGATTCATCTGCAGGATAGGAAAGCAATCTGGTGGCCATCAGAAAGCATTTCTTAAGCAGCGCTGAAATTGCCATAGGGATACATAATTTTCCTTTATTTACTATGCATAAATAAATTTTTATGGTGTAAAAACAGGATAAATATGTACACACAAAATTCTTTGAATCTCGAATGCCAGCTTAAAAAGGGCACACTACCAAATGCTTATGTTCTATTTATGTTTAAAAGGTAGCTGTATTTCAGACCTCTGGATTTATCACTTGGTCTGTGTACTGTGTAATAAACACCTTTCATCTCTCAAAGCCTAATAAAAGGTTTTAAAGTGTTAAGCCATCCGCTTCTTGTTAGGTGGACTTAGAAGTGTTAGCCTTCTTAGCATGCAGGATGTTTCATGCTCTCAAAATGAATTTGTGTAAATATTTGCAGGCACTGTAATAGATTTCAGCCGTGGCTACAGGACCATCTGATAAACAAAACATTTCCCAGCAATCAATAAATACTAACCTAAATACCACAGGCAAATAAAAACTACCCTTATAACATGCTGAGTTTTAAATAGAGCGAAAGATTTTTTGAGGAAACCTACAGAGACAAAAGGCTTCCAGTGGAGAGAGAAGAATGGAACGCCCAGGCACCTGAAGGACTGTACATACCCATTTGCACAGAGCCACGAGGCGGGACGCCGGTTTGCTGAGAGGAATACCGTGAGCAGTTATTCATCTGTGGGGAGCCTGCTGGCAGCTGGGGCTGAGTAGAAGGGGCAGTGATTGGAACGGCTGGTCTGATAACGGTAGCAGTGTTTGTAAGAGCTGGGCCACCTGGGTGAGCAGCCCCTGAAGAGCCTTTGGCCATGGGGGACCCGCCTGCTAGGTTCCTGGGCTGACCAGCTCCTGCAGGAACCCTGGAGAAAGAGAGAGCTGCACGTGAATGCATTGTACAGACACACAGGAAACACACTAGCATGCACTTTGAAGAGCTTTATTTTTATTTTATTTATTAAATTTGTTGAAAGGCCACCCATTAGGAACATGCCCTCTGGGTGGCCATTACAGTATAAAATCAACAAATAACATTAATAAAACAATGCAATTAAAATCTCATAATAAACAGAATACAGTCACAATAAAATAATTACATAAAAATAAAACATAGGTTCATATAATTCAAGCCGTGCACTGATGTCAATAGGCTAGATGGTGCCAAAGGTGCTCTGGAAAAGCAAAGTTGTTGCCAGGCACCCGAAACTCAATTAGGTAGGCACCTGGCGAATTGCCAGGCTTTCCTTCTCATTGCTCATTTTTTTCCTGTGAAATTAGGAGTTGTGAGATTATGCACAGTGTGCAAGTTATTACAGATCAGGGTTGGGAATCCCTAGTCTGTCCCTATGGGGTCTCCAGATGAGCAGCTTCCTCTGTTCACACGTCTTTCTGCTAATCACCAATCACTTTGTGCTTTCTTGACTTTGCAAAATTTCTTTCCTATTCTCCAAGGTTGGAATGCTCTCCTAAGGCTGAGTGAGTGGCAGTAAGTACTTTAAGATAAAATATGCTGGCATTATTGGCTCACCCCTTTTGCATTCAGCCTAGCAACCACTGGAATGCTGCCCCTAAGAGTATCTCCAAGCTGAAATTCAAGCTGGAAGACGTTCTTCATCTCTACTGAAGAGCAGAGTTGCTGAGACAAATTTGGGCAGAGGTTAGGGGTTAAATTCCTGGGGAAATTTACACTGCCACATTTTTCACTTGACATTGCTGTTGTTGTATGGATCAATAATTTTAATTGGAAAGCATACTACTGGAGCATCTTTGGGAAGGCTGAAGGAGGGCTGAAGGAAGACTTCTTGGTGCTCAGGAGGAGATTGGTAAGAACTTTGGACTCCTAGAAGTTTAATAATAGGGATCAAACCTGAATGTTTAAGAAATTAACAAATCTCTGCTATGGCTGGCTTTACGCTATTTCCTCAGTTTCACAGTTCCACTTCTGTAAAATGTGGAATTGTTTGCTTTTGCCCAGGCAATTCTACTGGCCCTTTGACCATTTGCATTATGAAGGGTTATATTTGACCATACAGTGCTTGACTCATGGCATGCAGTATTAATTGTCTCAAGTAATTTATTTAGCGTACAGTCCTTACATGCGCACAGAAATATCCAAACAGAAATCCATGCAGTGCAATCCATGTCTACTCAGAACCCATGTCTATCACATTCAGAGAGATTCCCATGTCCATGTAGCACTACAGCTGGGTTTAGACCAAGCTCATGGGATAGTTAACCCATGGATTGCTGAAATTTAGTGGGAGCAAGTAAGCAAGCTCACTACATGCTTGCCACTTCTGCTTTCAAGTAGCAACCTAGGATCACCCTGTTTCTAGGTTTCTACTTTGACAATCAAACCTAAACCTTCTGGGTTGTTTGAGGATCAAACCCAACAATAAGCCACAGATTATCTCTAATTTCTAAACAATCCAAAGCGTAAACATTCAGATATGATGCCAAGAACCTTTGAATGGGTTGATTGTAGGTTACTAATTCAAAGCGGAAGCAAACAGCATGTTGGAGGCAGCATGCTTCCGTACTCCTGCTAGATTTCAGTGTTAATTAACCCATGATTGCTGTTATATGCAAACTGGGTCATTGGGGGATTTGCAATTCAGAGCTGCAGAAAGCACTTAAAGCGCATTTTCCAATTTGGATGTCTCTGGAAGCTGTGGGTTAACAACCAGGAAGTATCTTATAAAGCAAAGTATGCCTTGTCAGGAAAAAAGGAGCAATTGAGCTAGTGGTCATTGCTATGCCAACAAACCATGATCCATAGGATTTGTAGGAAAACGAATGTTTAAACAATGTTTAAAGGAATGTAATATCTGAAAAGGTCACTAACTCAGATCCATTGATCTATGCTATCTAGGTTGACCGTTACCAACTTTCTAGAGGCTCAGATAAATCCACATATCAGTCCTCTTTTTTTCTGGAGATGACCAGCACGTGATAGCCATTGAGTTAGAGTTAGGAGATCACTGTGTTCTCCAAAAGATTACTGTCATTGGCCATGGAGGGTGGATCAGATCCACTGAAAAACCACATCCAACCCCACCGCCCTGCATTAATTTTGAGGATGCCATTATGAATACCTTATGAAATATTAGATAGAAATATCTAAGGCATAACTAACAGCAGAGACACCTGTGGAATTTGTTTCTTTAGAGGAACCCTGTGTGATTTAAAAGCAAGTACAGAGTGATTTAAAACAAGTGTTTTTTGTATCACTGCTAAAGAGATGTTTAAACCTCACTGCTGAACTTTCCACTGCCTCTCACCTGGAAACAGGAGTTACATAATTGCCTGGAAAGACTCCAGACATGCCATTTCTCAGAGACGTCCCTTTGAACCAGCCGTCCTGACACTTCTCAATAACGCGATACATTTCACCCTTCCGTAGCTCCAGTTCATCGGCCTTCTGGGGCTTGTATGCATACAGTGCCAAGTAGCTATAAGAAAGAGCGATATAAATAGTGAATGAAGGAAGCAGAGACACGCTTCTCTCCAGCGGCTGCAGTTCAGTTTAACCCAGGTGGTGCTGCTTACTCAAAATCATGACTGAATTTGGATGATGCTGGTTTGTAAGCCGGGGTGAGCTAACATGCCATTCAAATCCAGCACTGTTCCTGTGCAGTGGTTTATATTCCCAGTGACCCATAGCTGGTTGTACAGTTTAAATAACCCATGATGCCTAATGGTTTGTCCAAACCCGGATGACATACTAAGCTTTGGTCAAGTTGAAAACTAAGAGTCCCTTGGCCAGGCAGCATAAAAGCCCTGATGCACTGCTAAGGGGCTGCAGCTGGTGACAACCATCAAAGAAGAAGCAAAGAAACCCACTCAAAGCTGTTGGTTGGAGCCAGGGGGAAACCACCAAGTTCCAGAGCATGCTACCAACCTGGGCCTCATTCGGGCCTGGGGAGATACGGGGGCAAGTCTCAGTCTCACTTTCTTGCAGGGAAGGGCTGGATCCCCTGACTCCCTGCTGCAGTGGGAGCAGCTGCTGGGGAGCAAACAAGCGGAAGGCAAAGCATTTGGGCACCTGCAGCCCCATTACTCTGTGGGAGGCATCCCTCCCTCTTGCCTGCCTGCCTCCTCCTTTCCAAGCTTGGTGGCACTGGTGCCTGCCCTGTGTTGCTTATCCAAGCCCAGACACAGTAGAAGAGGCCCATGGTAGACACCAGCTCCCTGTCCCACCCCTGTGCCTGTGGGCACCGTGCCATGCAAGGCTGGGGCAGTGAGCCAGGGGGCGCTCTCAGCCAGGCCTTCTCCGTGGGAGATCCAGCCAGACAGAGCACTTCCTCTCCACTGGTGGGAGGCCTCATGCTGGGCTTGGAGCCCAGTGTGAGGTGGCCCTTCCCTTCTTACCCCGTGCCTGATTCCAGGCACCAGGGAATTTTACCTGCAGGGTATGGTGCAAACCCTCCCAACATTTCCAGTGTGCAGGTAGAAGAAGAGCTACTAAAGTGTTGAACCAGGTAATGACTGAAGATTGTCTTGATGAAAGACACTGAGAGACAACTCAAAGACTGTCTCTAGATTAAGTGAGGCGGGAGGTTTAAAGCTGCACTGTAATTAACTTGTTCTGTTGGTATTAGGAGGAGAGCCACAATTTACTTTAGCTGGATAGGGAAGACTGAATTGAAACAAACCAATATATCAAGTGGATTAAATCCTCTGCAAAATGGATTATTAAAAGATATTTAAGAGTTCAGAACTAGCCAGCAGAACAAATTGTGAGAGAGTATTGAAACCAGTAATATTTGAAAAAATATTAGAAATAATTTCTAGAACTCAAACTCAACATTCCCTGATAATTCCTATATGAGCGCTCTTTAACAACAGCCAGAGAAGGATGGATTCTACTATATAAAATTGCATTTGCCTTGCTAAATTCTGTGTGAATTTCTTGTGATAGCGGTAGTATTATCAGAAGAACATGATCAGTCCCAAAACAAGAAATACTGAACACTATAGTGACTGTGACAGTAAACTTAAGCCAACAAATATGATGCATGACTTTTAAAAATGGATTTCTAGGAAATATAATTTGAAGGCAAATCCTATTTGTCACATCTATTGTTTTCCTTTACGGTGCCAGGATTTTTTATTTATTTTTTTTTGGTGCAGGCAGGAAATAAGCAGTGGTGATTAATAGAATATTTGCCAATCTCCTCTAGGTACAGTCTGCTTCTAGTACACAACATTACATTGAAATAATTTATATTACTATTTGGGAATAAAGCTGAGAAAGGGTTGTAGCATCCCTTTTAGTCATGTAAGTCAAGGCGGCCATGCTCATCACATGGACCAGGTTACCTACCTTGCTGCAACATGGGCAGGGGAGCACTAGAACACAAGGCTGCAGTCCCTGCATTATCCAAGGAAGGCTGCCCTGGCTGCTGTGTTGGAATAACAACAATAACAGCAACTGAGCCACGGGAAAAACACCACCCTGTAGCACAGGAGGAATATGGAAAGGGCTTCTCTACAGAGCATAAAGAGCTGAGAGAAGGTGGGAAGGGAAGGGCAGTGTCAAGCCATCCGTTGCACCTTGTGCCCAATCCTGCACCACAAATACCTAATCCTTCGTCTTAGACCTAGCAGAATGCTGTAGAAACCAGGATAATGTGATTTTCACCCAGTTTGAAGCAAATGGATGTGGACGGTGCATGTTCTGTTCATGTACCCTGCCAAAAGGCTTGCAAAGTAATACCTAGTAATACACAATTACAAAAAGGATGAACGTTATTTGTTTTATTTTGTTGGTTCTTTACTGAAACCCTTCAGTGTAGTTACTGGCTTTTAACAAGTGTGGATATGCTGACATTCCTAAAAATTGTGCAAAATTTGTCTCAACATGTGGACATGTTTCAGGATGAAGATAGACCACCATACTCAACACCTGTTGTTAAAGGCCACAAAGAAGCTATCTTTTTGTGCCAAAATGACCTAGATAAGTGGAAGAACGTTTTAGAGTCCCTTGGAGTGTGCTTTTGACAAGAAATTAAGATTAACCATGTTCTTCGGTTTCATCCCCCACTAGCATGCACTTTGGGGCTGAGATAAAAGTATAGAAAAGAAAATAACCTTAACACCTCCAAAGCCGCAATAAGATGGCATTTCACAGTATTATGGGTGGGAACCAGTTAACGGACACAGTTTTGATCTATGATACTCAGCACTAAAAGTTGCCTGGCAGAGTTTCCAGCTTTAACTGTGGCCCTGAGGGGCACAACTGTGACTGAATTTCTAATGTTTGAATTCATGGTGCTGCGGTTAATGTCATCTCTGTAGGTCTATGATTAGTTTGAGATACAATTGCTTTGAAGTAAAGCCTGGCTTCCAGGCACTAAGAACACGAAGGTGCTTACTTTTCCTTTCCCTCCATGAAAAAATATTCTGTAACTTGGTCAAGTTAAACATCATAGACAAGTGGCAGCTAAAAGGAAGAGAGCACCATCTGTATCTTTGTCATGAAATATGGAAAAATAAGTGCTTATTATGGTCTAAGCCAGTGATGGCAAACCTTTTAGAGACTGAGTGCAACCCAAAATCCACTTATTTTATCACCAAGTGCCAACACTACAATTGTTGCTGTTGTTGTTGCTAGACGTGAAGTCGTGTCCGACCCATCGTGATCCCACGGACATCATTCCTCCAGGCCTTCCAGACCTCCACCATCCCACGGAGTCCACTTAAGCTCATACCAACTGCATCAGTGACTCCATCTAGCCACCTCATCCTCTGCCGTCCCTTCTTCTTTTGCCATCTATTGTTCCCAGCATTAGGTTCTTCTCCAGGGAGTCCTTCCTTCTCATTAGGTGGCCAAAGTATTTGAGTTTCATCTTCAGGATCTGGCCTTCCAAAGAGCAGTCAGGGTTGATCTCCTCTAGGACTGACCGGTTTGATCACCTTGCAGTCCAAGGGACTCACAGGAGTTTTCTCCATCACCACAGTTCAAAGGCCTCAAATTTTTGGCACTCAGCCTTCCTTATGGTCCAGCTTTCACAGCCATACATTGAAACTGGGAAAACCATAGCCTTGACTATGCACACTTTTGTTGGCAGGATGATGTCTCTGCTTTTTAGTCTGCTGTCTAGATTTGCCATAGCTTTCCTCCCCAGGAGCAAGTGTCTTTTAATTTCTTGGCTGCACTCCCCGTCTGCGGTGATCTTGGAGCCCAGAAAAACAAAATCTGTTACTACCTCAATTTCTTCCCCATCTATTGCCAGGAAGTGAGAGGACCGGATGCCATGATCTTAGTTTTCTTAATGTTGAGTTTCAAGCCAAGTTTTGTGCTCTCCTCCTTCACCCGCATCAAGAGGCTCTTTAGTTCCTCTTAACTTTCGGCCATTAACACTACAAATACACCTGAGGTTTTAGTTTAGAAAAAACAACTCACAGCCAGTCCAATTAAATATATCTATATCCTTGGCAGCGCACTGACTGGCCATGCGTAAGCTCAGACGAGTCATGGCTAATAAGTCGTGGCTCATGACATCATCGCCTGGCACTGCTATTCCTTTCTGAGCATGTGCATGGCCCCTACGTGTGCTGTGACCCGATCTTCCGCTGCCAGGGCGATGCTGGTGTGACATGGCTCGTGTGCTGACAGAGAGGGCTCAGTGTACCCGCTCTGGCACACATGCCATAGGTTCACCACCACAGCCCTAACCCTACCCTGGTGCACTCCCCTAACACTAATAAAGGGGTAAAATACCATTGAAAGGGGCAATTTTGAAAAAGTCTTCCTTGAGTAGCTTTTTCTGCACAGCTCATCATTTCTGTCCTTTCTAAACACACCCCAACTATCAAAATCATTCCAGGACACCTCGTTTTTGTAACCCTAACACTACCTTGGTGCACAGACCAACTGCTAATGTAGGGCTAAAGTACCAGAGAGGACAGGGTGATTTTGAAAAAGCCTTCCTTGAATAGCTTTTTCTGCACAGCTCATCATTCCTGCCCTTTCTAAACACACCCCAACTATCAAAATCATGCCAGGACACCTCGTTTTTGTAACCCTAACCCTACCCTGGTACACATCCCTAATCCTCATATTGGACTAAGGTTCCATAGAAAAGAGGGTGATTTCGAAAAAGCCTTCCTTGAGTAGATTTTTCTGCACAGCTCAGCATTCCTGCCCTTTCTAAACACACTCCAACTATAAAAATCATGCCAGTGAATTGCAAATGGGTTGGCATGCTTATATGTGGCATGAAAAGTGTAAGGTACATGGTTGTTTCTTAAATCATTATATAAGGAAATCATTAATCTTGGTGTGGGAAAAGTTAAAGATAAAACTGTATACTATATTACCAAGATGGCTTTCGCCTATGGAAGCTCTTGTATATCCAAATGCATTGAATTTTGATACGATCGTGAGATATGATGATATTTTGGATAATGATGGAGGATTAAAATTGAATCAAGAAATACAAGAACAAGGAATTAATATTTCTTGGTGGCACAAGGTTCAAATGCAATCGAGATATGCTAAAAACTATAGAATGTGGGGCTTTTATAGGGAGCCAACAGCATTTGATCACGTGATTCTTAAATCAGATGAGAAAATGATTAAAAGATTGCATAACTTCCTACTAGATAGGAGAATGGAAGATGAACAGGTTAAGGAAACTATGATAACGTGGGTGCAAAACTTTGGATATATATTGAGTTAGAGAAATGACAAAAGCTGTGGGAAAGAAATATTAAAGTAACAATTGAAATCATGCCAGGACACCTCATTTTTGTAACCCTAACCTTACCCTGGTGCACACCCCTAACCCTAATGTAGGGCTAAGTTTCCATAGAAAAGAGGGTGATTTTGAGAAAGCCTTCATGAGTAGCTTTTTCTGCAGAGCTCATCATTTCTGCCTACTCTAACCCATTTTAGAGACTCAGTGCCCAAACTGCAACCCAAAACCCACTTATTTATCGCAAAGTGCCAACACTGCAATAAAACCTGTACACTGAGGTTTTAGTTTAGAAAAAACAACTCACAGCCAGTCCAAGCAAATATATATACATTGTTGGCAGCACACTGACTGGTCATGGGAAAGCTCAGATGAGCTGCGGCTCATGATGCCAGAGCCTGGCGCCACTACTCCTTTCTGAGCATGCACATGGCCCCTATCTGCACTGTTACCTGATGCTCGGCTGGTGGGGCGATGCGGCTCGCATGCCGACAGAGTGGGCTCTCTGTGCCTGCTTTGGCACGCATTCCATATGTTCGCCACCACTGCTCTAAGCCTTTCTCAACCTGATGCTCTCTTGATGTCTTGGAATGATGGCCACTGCCAGCTGGAAATGGTATGAGTTGCAGTCCAGCAAACCTGGAAGCCTGGTCTGAGAGCAGTGTACATTATGATATATGCTCTTTGTACAAGAGAACCATCTCATTATCTTAATGGGTAATTTTATCTTTCCTCTCCCACTAGTGCAGTTTCAGCACTGTGTTATGTGGGCTACAAAGGAAGAGTTATTCTGGATATTCTGAAGAAGCTTTGATGGAAGGAGTGTAAGCACGTGCATTTGTTACATTTTTGTGCTTCCATTCCTCATGAGTCCGTCATGATATGCGAGAAATGTCATCCCACGTGTCTTGGCAGAGGATGAGTCTGGTGATGTGGATGAGGTAAAATCTTTCTTAAGGACCCTGAAGGCCCTGACGTGGCTCAGGTTCTGTCTTGGGGAGAGTGGAGAACAGTGTAGGCCAGTCACGGGAAGAGGAGATAGCTGGGAGTTTGGATGACTGCTCCAGTGCTCCTTATTGGTCCTCAAGCTCTTGAGAGGGAAGCTGTATTTATAAGATTTCTAAATTCGATCTTCAGATAGCAAGCACAGAACACATTCACATCTGTTACACCTTGGGAAGCCCAGAGAATTGTTCTGCTGAAATATCGTTCTATTTTCATATAAAGTAGGGCACAAAACCATTTTCAGCCCAAGCCCTGAATTCACTTTTGAAGTAGCTCTTGATGAGGAGGAGCACATGCAAATGGTTGGCAGGACCAAAATACCAAGAATCGGTATAGTTTAGTTTAAGTCCTTACTGCCAGTAATTAAGCGTCTGGAAAGAGATTCCAATATTTTAGAATGTGGTGGTGGGGGGGGGGGGGCATCACATAGGTTGGGAAGCCACTGAAGAACTGATGGTTGAAGCAAGTGGGATGAGAAGCCCAGAGAAGTGCTGGACTGGGCTCCCAAGCAGGCCAGCTTTTGCAAAAAGGCCTGTAGTTCAACACCCCTGCTTTAACGGAACTGTAGCAGCACCCAAAATATCTACAATCTCTCCCTCCTCCCCTGTAGTCCCTTTTCTGCATGTAAATCTGCATGGGGGTGAGTTGGGTCAGGAGGGCCACCAAAATATGAAGATCCCTTCCCGCTACCAGCACTACTGGCAAAAGTGTCCTCAGTCGAAAACTGTTCTGAGAATTCTTCAGCTGGGGGAAGATATGCTGGATTAAAGCCATGGTATATTGGCTCAGGATTTTAAAAAAGTGACTAGTATAATCTACAAATATGAAATATAGTGAACCTGTTTCGTGGATGAATTAGTTACTGTGGCTTGTTGTTTCTGGTTAGCCTGGGCACAAACAACCCCAAGTACCTGAGATCAGATATCAAGGACACAACCTATGACTGCCACATCTATGTGCTGTTGCTCGAAAGCAAAAATGCATCCTAGCAATACATGGGTTAATTAATTCAGACATTAATTGCTACTCGATACCAGTGTTATGTCCAAAAAGGGCACTGATATAGAGCATTTAAAAAAAACTTATTCCTGTTCTAGATAACCTTCTATTTTTCTAAGTTACACTGAATCACCTATACCCTCTTTTACAGAAGCAAAATTTCTTGGCATATATGTGTTAATATTATGTCTTCATTTATTTGTAGTTCAATACATAACAAGGTGATTTTTATCCTATGGACCAAGCTTCCTAACAAAGTCTCAGGTGTTCGATTGTACAGGAACGCTATTTCACAAATGGCTTAATTTACAAGAGCAGATTTCCTCTAGCTGATAGGCACTCAGCCTGCCATACTATGATTCATACAGCTATAATAAATATCTTGGAAGCTAAAAATGAACTATGCAAAAAAGGTGACCCAGTCTTTCACTGTTCATTTTTCAATTCAGGCAGAAGGCTGGGTCATGTCCAAGACAGTGATAACGACATGCAAAGTGTTCCTTGTAAAGGATTTATCCTTTCAGACTGCAAACAATAAAACTAGCATGCTCTGTGGGGCTGTAAAAAGTGTATTCAGGGCAAACTGGATGCTTACATGTTGAGGGGAAGCTGGACTTTTGGTGGTGTTCCTTGATCTCCAGTGCCTGCACTTGTTCTGGGTCCAATCATAGTTGCAGAACTGGCTGAAGTGGAATCCTAGAAACAATACAAAAACGGAGCAAAATGAAATACATCCCTGCATGAACTGCTTCTGCCTGTTAGGAGTTAAGGCTACCTTCTTTCTCCCTCGGTCCCAAAGAACTTCATAGGCATAGCTGCATAAATCAACGATGCATCAGTGATGCAATGTCTGGTCCGTGTTAAAAGGCAGGACCTATAAGGAGCCCTCTACAGCTTTTTCTGCCAACTAATGTTCTGAATCTTGCAATACATATTCACATACTGTATGATTTGCAGAGGATGCAGAGCTAAGCATTGTTCCAAAACTAATGATAGCAGCTGTAATACCACTCAACGAGGCCTTCCTGTGTCATCTCTTCATTGTTCCCCACCACTCTTGAGAGATCTGGAAGTGAACTTTGGCACAAGTCACTGAGCATACCTAGCTTTTATTTCCACAGCGTCAGGACTTGGTACTCTTGGAAACTGGCTATTTTTAAGGCTTCACAGGAAGCATAGTGTGCTGCATTCATAACAGGAACTCTTAAAAACTGCACCATGATCATGGAACGCCTTTTCATGATTTGACAGTGTCTAGATATGGACTGGATGGAACAGGAAACAGCAAACATGGCTCCTAAACATTTATGTGCTGGTGCATAACCCATTCTGATTGAAATATAAGTCATGCAAACAATGTATTTTATTTGCTTTGCTATTTGACATCAGCAATTGCTGTCTTAAAAATCTGTCATTTTAGCTTCACATATTCCAAAGATATATTTCTGGCATAGGGCCATTTGCTTGATGAAGCATAATTTAAGGCTCACCTGTAATATGCTGGTTAATCTTAGCACCCTGCCTTTGCAAACCTTTGTTACTTGGTTTAAAAGAGGCTCAATATCTCTGTGCTGGACCAGTGTTTATCTTGGTCAGCAGCATCATTGTTTTTCTACTTCATTTTTCTACTGCTTCTTTGCAAGTTGATAATAACATTTTATGTGCTTTTCAGAAAACAGATTGTCATTTAATCTATTGTTTTGCATATTACTTTTTAAGACCAGGACTGAAAAGGGAAGAACCAGACAGCAATGAAATAATAATTATCATCAAATAGCAGAGATTGTATTGACTTTTCATTTCCAACTCACAAAGCATTTCCATAGGACAAATCCATAGGACACAGAACTTGAACTATGACTGGGAAAGTACACCATTTCTTGAAAATGTTGTTAAATTCTAGTTGCCAAGGATGAGGCTCTCCTGGAGAGGACCATGGCTTTTGCCCTCACTGTAACAAGCTCTTCAAGAGAGAAGGTAAAAAGCTTACTGCAATGATAATAAGGGCTGACTGTGCATTTCAAAGGAGCAACATTGGAACCATTTGGTAGACCCATCCATCCAGTTATCTGAATCCCATGTATCAGTGGTGGGTCAAGTTTAGCACTAGTGTCTGAAAAGTTTTGAAAGTCCTATCACCATCTGGAAGGAGTGGATTTACTAATTCAGCTATTAAGAGACCTGCTATAAAATATCTTAATAAATCCTCCCTTCTTGTTCATTAAGTCTTGGTGGAATTTTTCAAATCTGTGAGTTGAGGCATAGTCCATAAGCTGTGAACTGTGACAAAGTTTTAATGCTTCTTTCCAGTTCGCTTTCTTTTAATCTTAAAACTTCTAACAGCCATTAGCTTATGTTAGCACCAAGCAAGGGAATGGTGCATAAGTAGCTGGCTTGATGCTGAGCTTTGGGTTTGTAGGCACAGTCTTTCTGAAGGACCAAAGACATAGAAACACAGAACTTTGCAGAGCAGGTAGTTTGGGAAGGAGAAATACATTGGACCCAAGGCAACCTGATACTCAGATAAACAGAACACTTCGCACACACAACCCCTGCCACCAAAGAAGGGAGCTGCTTGAGTTGTATATCTATACATCATGCTCCTCAATTCAGATATACAGTAACATCAGTTTTCACATGGTAGATAACTGCACATGGTAGGTATATGGACCCAGAGAGGTCCGCCTGGCGCCGTCGTTATTTGTTTTTCGGTGCCAGGCGAAGACGTTTTTATTTAAGCGGCATTTTAACTGTTAGTATTACTTGATTTTATCTGGCCAGGGCGGCTTATTTTATATTGTATTTTTGGATTTTTAATGTTTATATTTATTGTAATTTATATTACAATTACTTTTATTTATTCTTGTAAGCCGCCCCGAGGCTTCGGCGAATGGGGCAGCATAAAAATGTTTTAATAAATAAATAAATAAAATATGTAATGTAATACAACACCTAGTGTGTAGGCCAGCATGCAACACAACACTTCCTGCCTCTTCCCTCGGAAAGAGATGGATGCGCAAAGCAGGGTTTCCACATATGAATTATGATGCCTCACCTTGTGGATGGGAGAGGTCTAACGCTGCCATTGTCAGCCTGCTGCCACCATTTGAGGAATGCTTGTTCTACTGAAGACATCAGCACCCCAACATTACTGCTATATAAACTGTTGCTAAGCCCCTCTGGATAGATAGCAGTCTATTTATTTTCATATTAGCCACAGCAATAGCAGTTTGTGTTCTTTCAAGGTCAAACAAAATGGGAAACCACCCTACCCACAAAGATATCCCGCTGTCTTCTTCTCAGTCTCTCACTTCCAATTGATGTAACTTAGAACCTCACTGACTAGTCAGTCCCACCACAGCAAAGAAACCCAAGGCCACAAAGTTGAACCACCACTGTGGCTCTTCCTAGCAATGAATACAAACTGCTGAGCTTCAGCAAAATCAGGAGTTCCATATCATCACACCAATCTCTATGTAGGGCTCATGCCGTGTACTTTAAATGAAGGCAAACCCGCTTGCTTAAACTTGTGATGGCACTTACTGCCCGTAAAGTGCCTGAATTAGTCTGTGCAAGGTGTTCCCTTCTGCACGTGACATGGTATTTCATAGGGCAGAATGGGAAACCTTGTTGGCATCGGTCCCCTAGTAGTGGCTGACAGCTTCAGTGTACCTGATCTTCAGCTAGGAGATCCCTGATACGTTTGCTGATTATTTATGGGATCCCAGTTGTTTAAGGTAAGCTAAAATAGATCAGCCTTCCCAGACCTTGTGCCCTCCAAATGTTTTAGACTCCAACTCCTATTAATCTGACCATGCTAGAGGGGATGATGGAACTGTAGTCCAAAATACCTGGAGTGTGTCAAGCTGATCAATATCATAAGCTAGGGGAAAACAGATTCTCCAAGGCCAGCCAGTGGATTTCACTGCTGAGTGAAGATCTGAATGAAAGGCACTCATGCTCAAATCCAACTCTCTATCTATTGCTTATCACTTGTCTTTCATGTTGTCCTTTTCCAATGACCATGCATGAATGAGCCAAATGCCTTAGAAAATAATAGCCTGTGTAAATCGGCTTCTGATCACAAGCGACCTTACAAAAATAAACAAGCAAGAACATTATTTGCAAGGGAGAACTGTGATTTGCAGGATCAATAATCCATAAAGAATTGCATTTCCAAAGGAACTGGTGATATGTTCCTTGTTTGCCAGCATTTATTGTTTTAACAAATCATCAGCTTATACAAATATCCCCAAAATCTAGAAAGATAAAAGGAAAACTTTTCCTTTTATCTTGCTGTGGATTGAATGCTAAATTTAGTGCTTAAGGATGGCTATGGGAGGGGAAGATGACCATCTGCCAGAACAAACCAACTGACCAACAAACAAGCACAAAACAGAGTGGAAAAGCAGCTACTCCAGTTTGCAATGTCTTAGATGTGTTTGTAATTATGGTTATTAGATGAAGAATCCTGCAAAGAATTGGGGGTGGGGTAAAATAAACTCCTTTGTCCTTCCTGTTCTTTTCCTCACTGCACAGCTACTCTTGGTGTTGCACATGTCTCTATTCTCCTACACCTTGCTCTCCTTTTCAGGTTGAAAGTCACAAGGTTTGTGTTAAGACACTTCCTCTGCTATTTTTCTGCAAATTTACAAGGTCTCCTCCATTGGGGGAGGTTCTTTTCTTACTGAGCTCATCCCTACATTTAGGCTCCTCTGAAGGCTACAAAGATATCTCATTTTATAAATACAGATACTGATTGCTTTAGAGTGGTTGTAAATTTAAGCTAAGTGAATATGCACCAATAAGCAAGTAAACAAATGCTAAACAGTGGCAGTTGCTAGGGATGCACTGACACTGTAAATCTACTCCATCTCCGTTTCATGGATTCTCAGGTGCCTTTTGTTCCACTGCCTTCTCATTAACAGAACTGGGTTTTGTGAAAACGCATTTCTGTGTATTTGTGCAAATTCTCCTGACAATGTTCAAGGCCTCCCAAAACTCACAACCCCCCATAAAATGTATATTCTTATGCGCATTTGATTTATTGTATGTATTTTTATATTTATTTATTTATTATTTATTTTTCAATGTATATCCTGCCTATATCCTACAAAGGGCTCAAGGAAGCTTACATCATTCTCCTCCTCCATCTTATCCCCACAACAACAACCCTGTGAGGTAGGTTGGGCTGAGAGTCTGTGATTCGCCCAAAGTCACCCAGTTGGCTCCATGGCTGAGCGGGGACTAGAATCCAGATCGTCTGAGTCCCAGTCCCATGCTGTTAACCACTACACCACACTGGCTCTCCATTTTCTGTGACTAAATTAGCATGGCATCGTATAATTTTTTAAAATTTTAAAAAAATTCTCCGTAAGTCCATGGAATGTGGACAACTCAGGAAAAGTCAGTCCACTTAGAAATCTGAGCTCAAATGAATTCATCGTAGAGCCAGTGTGGTGTAGTGGTTAAGAGCTGAGACTGGGACTCAGACGATCCGGGTTCTAGTCCCCGCTCAGCCATGGAGCCAACTGGGTGACTTTGGGCCAGTCACAGACTCTCAGCCCAACCTACCTCACAGGGTTGTTGTTGTGAGGATAAGATGGAGGAGGAGATGTAAGCCGCCTTGAGCCCTTTGTAGGAAAAAGGCAGGATATAAATTGAATGAATGAATAAATAAATCGTAGATTTCTCTG